CTCTCTCTGTCTCTCTCTCTCACTCTCTCTGCCTACCTCTTTGTGTCTATTTCTCTCACACATTCTTTCTCACTCGTGTTTATCACTCCCTCTTTCTCTCTCTCTCTCTCTCTCTTGCTACTCTGCCCCGCTACCACCCCAGCCGCGCCCCAGCTCTCACTCCACACTTTGGTACCCCGTGTACCCCTGAAATCCCCCTCTGCCATAACTCCCCTCTCAATGCCCCGTTGCCCTCATCGACCCCACTCCCCCTTTTAGAGAAACCTAACTACAAAATCGGCCATGTAGCCGTGTGAGCTGCGATCTCTGTATGTCATGGGCGCGGCGCACGACGGGGTGGTTAAGAGAAAGGAGAGAGAGAGAGAAAGAGGATTTTGGTGGACAAGTTGCCACTGTTCAGTGGCGCCCTCGACTCTAATCGTGAGAACGATGAAAGAGTGTTTTTTTTTTTTTTTTTTGCGAAACTATCTTCGAGAGAGGGATGCTGGAGTATTGTGCTGCCATCACTAGGATGGGAACAATCTGAACTAGAAAGGTTTTGATAGGTTCGATTTGCCCTTAGGCAGCGTTAGGTGATGCATCAATATTGCGATTGCTCTACTCGTTTCAAAGGGTATACGCACCGAAAAAACATTCTTTTTTTTTTAAGAATATCGCACATACATTTTGTTCTTAGTTATATAGAATATAAAAAGAAAAAGAAACACAACAAAAGTCTCCGTTTATATATTAAGACCACAATATTAACAGAATATTAGCAACAAAAATGGGCAGCCCAAGTAATGCCCAGCTAGCGCCATTTTACAAAAACAAAGAAATAACTAAAAAATATAAAATTACAATTTGAATGCATAATTTCAAGGTAATAACCCGAATATTTAGTTTATTTTCTAATAATCTTTCAAATTCTTCGAAATTATCGAAAACTGAGATGCCCTAGTGGAGCCCAACTCGCGCCCATTTACGAAAAAAATGAATTACCAAAAAATTATTACAAAATTACAATTTGAATGCATATAATTATAAGATAGTAAACGAATTTAGTTTATTTTCTACAATAATTTTTAAATTTCTTTGAAATTATTGAAAAATAGGAAGCCCTGGTGGGGCCCAACTGGCGCCCATTTACAAAAAAAATGCTCGTTAATATGAAAACCTCTTCTAGAATTAAAAGAATTTAATGTCAGAAGCAAACGATAAAAATAATTCAATTTTTTGGTAATAGCCTCGAAATTCTTGAAAATTTTTGGTAACTGGGAAGCCAAGGTGGAGCCCAGATGGCGCCCACTTACAATAAAAAAGTAAGATAATATGAAAAACTCTTTTAGAATTAAAATAATTTAATCTCATAATCAAACGATAAGAATAATTCAGTTTTTTTGTAATAATCTTCGAGATTCTTCAAAAATTTTTGGTAACTGGGAAACCTAGATGGGGCCTGGCTAGCGCCTACTTACAAACTGAAAAAAACTGAGGAATTTTCCATACACTGTATGCAACTCTACTAATTTAATTCCAAATAGAATTAAAATAAACTAAAATTAAAAATTGGATTAAAATAAACTAAATTTAAAAATTGCATTAAAATAAAAGCGTTAAATAACTAAAGTAACTAAATAATAACTAAAAAAAATTAAATTTTTTCCCTCAAAATTTCTATTAAAATTATATATATATTATACAAAAATATATGTATATGAGTTAGAAATTTACGCTGCATATATTTTTTGATTTTAATCTGAATTAGGCAATTTTTTTTTTTTATTTTTATTCTCGCTTTGCGGCTTATATTCTGTTCCCAACTATTGCCGTTGGCGCTTTTACCTCCTCTTGAAACACACACAGAGTATATAACACACGAGTCAATTAACCTTTTGACTGGCAAGTTTTTTGGAACGAATCACACGCAACTATAAGGTGCTGATGTTGAAACGGTTTTCTTTATGGTAAACGCGCGCGAGCGCAGACAGAAAGCAAAATGAGATGAAACGTTTTAAGCAACACCTGTTAACTAATTTGTAATTTCTATATAGCGATGCGTCTTACAAGATTAGAATTCTTTTTCTAAAATAAATTTTCTATATACCTATATCAAAAAAGGAACGCCTAAAAATACATTATTTTTATAAATAAAATCAAAATCTATTTTTAATTTGTATGTTTTTTTTTAATTAATTAGTTTATTAAAATGGAAACTAGAGCGCAATTAATCATAAAAACGATAATTTAGGAAAATTAAATTACACGGTACAATGGGATAATTAAATATAAATGTAATTAGAAACAGAATGTTTCTCAAAGCTAAATAAACATATTTTTTTTACCTATTTGTTCGAGAAACAGGAAAAAGGAAAAAAAAGCACGTTGAGTCGTAAAAATTATCTTCATCTAATAGGGTCGGACAGACAAAGTTAAAACAGATGGCACGATTGACCTGAAATGAAATTGCTCCTTATTTCTTTTGGCGGCTGACATTTTTGACATCTAATTTTACATACATATATATATATATACGTGGCTACTAAAAATATTCGCGTGTGTTTTACCAAAAAAAAAAAAACCTGATTTCATTTAAGTCCCTTTTTTTTCATTCCATTAATATATTTTATTTAAAAATTTGAAAATTTTAATTTACTGTAACAGAAAATATTTTTATTTCCCTGCAGCAAACAAAAAATCAACTTCGTGTGAAAATTTAAATAGCAATTATAATTAAATTAAATCTTTGTTTGCAATAAACTTTTTTTTTTGCATATTTCTTAAATTAGTAATCATCATAAATAAACTTAGATCTTTATCTGCAAACGAAATACGAAACATCATATAAGTCAAAAGAGAAGAAAAAAGAAAAAAAAAAAGGAATAAATTATGAATTAATAACTGTCAATTGAAAATTTTCTTCAAACGATTATTATCAGTTAGCAAAGGCGCTGGTGTGTTCAAGGATCCTCGACAATATAATTATCCAATTCCGCGAATCACAAAGATTCCAAACAAAACGAGACCATAATTACGCGCCGCGGATACGCGCGGTTAAAACTCTACTCTTGTTTCGCGGACACGACGTTGAAATAAGGTTTCGTGATTTCCGACTATCCTACCGTGACTACTCGCTCCGATAAGCCTGTCATTTCGTTTCAAGGGGGTGTGAGGAGGGGAGTATTTTTTTTTTCCTACACGCTTCAACGATTTGGCCGAGTTAACGCGACTCTCGAATCCATAGAGGAAATGGCATTATATTTTATAAAAACAGATCTACATGGGCTAAATCGATATCTTAGATATATATTGCGATTGCACATAGCATAGCTTTCACAATATTTAACCAAGCGGAAATTCGCCAAACTTGTGAGTTTGGCAAATTTCCTGTGAAGAAATATATATTATTTATATATGGTATAAAAAATTATTCATATCGATGAGAATATAATTATAAATTGATAAAAAAAAATTTTTTAACAAGGTTTGGAGCAATTAGTAAACTTTAACTTTAGTAACCAGTAATTAATTCTTTAAATTAAAAATTGCCAAATTGAACTCGTTATTTTTAACAAAAAGATTAAATACTTTTTCATTATAACGAAAATTTAAAAAAAAATTACTAAGTCAAAAAGTAAATTTCCTAAAAATTAGTAAAAACTTCTACTAATTCGAATTATTAAACGAATTCTGACTAATTTAATTAATTAATAATTTTTATTATTTAATAATTAGGGTATTTTTTTCGTGTAAATTAGTTTTGTAAAACCTGAGACTAACATTTAAGAAAAATTTTTCCCCAGTTGTAATTTTCAATGTTTAAATATGAAAACTTGTAATTTTTGTAAAAAAAAAAAATAATGTTTAAACACTGTTTTTTGTTTTTTTCTCTACAAAGTGCGTGACTGGTGGGCGGAATAATTCACGTAACTCCTCCCACTTTGGTAAAGAACCACTGATTTCTCTTGCATCGCGTGTTCCCCACTATCATGGATGCTGCGCGCGACGTATAATGCGCAGGCAAATGTTTTCTGAATTTCTAATTCTTTACTTTTAACACTAAAAAGTTAATATGTGGGAATTTTTTTTTTTGGAAAAAGGGTTAAAATTTAAATTGACTGCAACAATAACAACTACAACGACAAAAATAACATCTTCTTTAGTTCCACGGAAAAAAAATTAGCGCTAAAAATGAAAACGAATGAAAATTGTGAAAATTCACCGGAAACATTTGTTTTAAAGCTATGCCAAATGAATATTTATTAGTAAATAAATATAGTAAATAAAAACAGTTTTGTTGAATTATTCTGAATTTTGGTTAATTTTTCCGAGTTACGCTTTTTTGGGAGTGCAGAAGAATCAACGAAAGTATAAATAATAGAGCGTTTAATGAGTACCACTGACTTGACAGCGTAAAATGGGGGGAAAAAAGGAGAGGAATCCAATCCCAGAGCTCCGTAACCCCATTTTGCACACTTTGGTCAGTGGTAGTTCAAGTCAACGGAGCCTCCGTGATCTAAAATCTGATTCTAGTTCGAACTTTTTTTTTTTAAATTAATTAGGTCGTTTTATAACTTCTGTTTTCCTTTTTTGGTCCCCTCTCATATGTTTTTCCCAATTATTCATTATCTAGTATGAGAAACTTGCTTTCATCAGCCACTAAATCCACTACGGGGCGCACTATAATCACATTCAACGAATATTTTTACAGTTTTTCTATACAGGTTCATTTTGAATAACGTGAAGTTGTCTGTTAACTCATTTTAATGCAGATCTGATTATGAAATGCAGCAAAAAATTAGTTCAGTTTTTTTCTGTGATTACAAAATAAAATTTTTGATTTTAATTTTAACTAAAAAAATCTACTGTATCAATAATGTTTTTCCGCGGGATAAAAGAGAAAATTTTGCAATTGGTAAAAAATTAGAAACAATTGTATATATAAATCATCTACACGTCACAGTGCTATTCTAATTCTATTATGTATATATATATATATATAATATTCTCTAAACACATACCTCTGGCAGATAAGATCTCGGCTTTTAAATCCACATCATAACCGTGGAGAAGGACACACTGTGTGCAAATAACTTTCAAATTGATTTACTTAACTTCGTTGAACATTTACTGGTACTGTAATGATGATAGCATTGTTCCTTATATTGATGACCTGTAAACACATCAGAATTTACAATTTTAGCTTTCAACATATTTTTAAAAATATTAACAGATATAAATCATATACTGCAATCTCTTTAAAAATTATGGTAAATTGTTAACTTTTTCTTCTTCTTTTGTTATATATATATATATGAAATTAGTTATTAAATATATTTATATATCAGACTTGGATTATATTTTCAATTTTCGTTCTGTCTTTGAAATTAATGCCACTGAAAAAATTTATTTTAGTAAAAGTATCGATTTTTATTATTAAATAATAAATATTTGATTCAAATAATTATTTATAACTATTATCAAATAAATATTTAATTGTATCAAATGATTTTTATTTGAAAAAAATGGTATATTTAAACCAATAATTTCTGTATTTAACCCAAATAAAATTTTTTTAAGCTTAACAGATATTTATTTGGCTCTGACAAAAAAATACCTTTTTTAGATGCAGAAATTATTGGTTCAAAAACATTTTATTTAATACAAATAAAAATTATTTGCTTCAAGTAATTATTTATTTGACAATAAAATCGAATATTTGAATAAAAAAAAATTCCCAGTGCAAATATTTATTATTTATTAATCTAAACCCCAAAATCTCGTAATAAATATTTGTCATCAACTGTAATAAAAGCGCAATATAAAGCAAATTTCAAAGTTAATAAGAGATTCCTGGGGCATATTATAATACACGGACGACTAACTTTCCTCAATTTCTGTCCCGTGTCTTCTTTATCATCTTGCAATATCTATTCCGGGAAAAGATTCACACAAAATACACGTATTTACAATGTAGGTGTACCGCATTTAAAAATATTAACCTTAATATAGTGGCCGCCTTGTACAGCTGCACAAAATTACACATATAGTGGAGAACATATACACATATATCTTGGTATTTAATATGTTTCAGCGCATAAATTGACGAGTATATGGGGCATTATATTGGGGGTGGGAGAAGAGGGACCAGTAGACTGCCCTTTCGTGGCTAAATCGTCTCCGATGAATAACAGACTCCGGTGTTCTTTTTTTTTTATTTTCAAAAAACGAAAACATATTTTTTTACTCCTAAGAATTAAATTTTTTTAATTTTAAAAACAAAATTAATTCTCATTACTATTTTTATTTATTCAAATTTCAAAAAATGATAAGCAAAATCGGTTACGATTCATATTTCTTAACCAAGTTTTAATAAATTTCGAAATAATCTCTTATTCTCGCATATATATGAAATTCCTGAGGCAAAAATAAGGCGTGTAAGAGAGCGCCATTTGATTTTTGTCCTCGTATAATTTTTCTCCTCTTATTTGCGACGTTCAAGCAGAAAGTTTATATGCAAATATATATAGAGGTGGGGAAAATGAACGAAAGATAATAACATGAACAAGTTTTGAGCCGTCAGACGCAAAGTTTATGTTGTCATTTTGTTATATAGGAGAGAGAAAACGTTCAAGAATTGCGCCAATCGAGCAAAAGAGCTGCACACTGCTGACTCGACATGGTTGGAATCAGTTGCTTTCGTCCTAATTGGAATCAATTCCCCACGTTCAATTTCTTTCTTTGTGGATGGCGAGCTTTTTAAACCAGTTTCGCAGAGATGACTGCAGCGAGAGCACTTAACGATTTAATCATCCGTTTCTTTGATTATAAACTCTTTTAATGAATCCGCGTCGATAAATATATATATATATTTTTTCGAAAAAAATTTATCGATTAAGAAAAAGAAAATTTTTATTCAAAGAAGATAACAAATTTGAAAATTTAGGTCACAGATAATAAAAATGTTTTGGATCTGATCCAAAAAAAAAAACAAACAACTTTTTTGTATTTTTTCTTTTTATCAAAGAAAATTTTTTTTTTATAAATATTCCAATTCTAAAATATATTTTTTTTTTTTGCATTTTTTTATTATTTATTTACTAAAAAATAGATTCTAAAGTTTTCCGTTAAGGTATATATACTATGTAATGGGAAAATTCAGGTTAGATATCCCACGTTTTTTTTGACTTGGTAAACAATGGCAGTTTGTTTACTTTTTTCTTTCTTGATGATTGGCGTGGATTATTTCCAAGATCCACAAAAGATATATATATATATATATATATATATATATACAGCGAGAGGAGAAAAGAGAAACGATATCGAGCGGGATTTTTCACCGAAAATTACAGGCTTATGAAATTAGAGTGAAGGTGAGCGTGAACCGCGACCTATCCCTCTTTCTCGCAATATCAAATATAATCGTCTTTCGATCGAATACCCGCGCGGCCGGATAAATTTACGCGGAAGCGTATATTTTCTTCATCGCGCGCTCTCTGTGATATTTTCAATGAAGAACACCGTTATATTTCTCGGCAAATTTAATTCGTGGAAATTGACGAGACGATTGCATCAATTGAAAATTGCGCGACGCTTTATAAGATTTATGCCATTTTCGAGATATATATAAAATATTTCATCATGTTTCGTTGAACATTAATTTTTTGTATGAAGAAAATTTTTTCACTAAGATATATATGCGCGCAACATTAATAATTTTTTTTTTTTTTTTTTTTTTTGTAAATCGATAAAAATTAATTTATTTAGTACACGGGTTTTAAAAGAACCCTTGAAGTATAAAAATATAAAAGATATAATATGAGCAAATTAACGCACCAAAGCACTCTCCTACAACAAATTGTCATTCTTTTGTGCGGTGAATAGTAAACTTCTGAAATTAGATTTGAAGAAAATCAAAGAGATTCCAAAAAAATCGATACATTCACTATAAGAATAATAATATAATAATAATAATAATTAATACTAAATTACTCTGATTTATCGAAAATAAAAAAAATAGTTTTTATTTTAGAAAAATTTCTTTTTTTGAATTTTGTTTTTTCGAATAAGATAAAAAGAAACTAAATTTTTTCAATAACATAAAATATTTACCTTAATAACGAATTCCCATCGTCAAGGAGATATATATTCTTTCAAACTAAATAGCCCACGGAGATCCCTACTTTCAAGTTAAATTTCCATTTAAAAATGTGAAAAATAACCGTAAAAATAGACCGAGTTCTAAAAAGTCTGATACTGGAGAATTCTGCGCCATATCGAGGATAGAATCTGGAAAAAGAAAAATTTAATGTTATATATCAAAAATTACTAAAATTATTTTAAAAACTTATCAAAAATAAAAAAATTAGTTTTATTTTAAGAAATTTTATTATTATTGTTATTATGAATTTTATTTTACTATTTCGAATAAAATAATAAAAATTTATTTTGTGTTTTTTTTATCAATAAATATTTCTATGAATTGATAAAAATTACAAATAAATAACGCTGATTTATCGTAAATAAAAAAAAAAGTTTCATTTTAGAAAAATTCCTTTTTTTGGAATTTTTGTTGTGTCTGACAAAAAAAAATATTTATTATTCTCTATGTTGTATTTTAGCAAATTTTGCTAAAAAAATTAATATAAAAATTTTTTTGGGGATTTTAACGAAAAAATTTTGCCGAGAGATTAAAAATATAATATTTGCAAAAAAACTTTTTATATTTATATAAATTCACCTGAAAAGCGGCCTTTAATGTCTCTACTTCCAAACTGCACAAAGTACATTATATAGAAGCAAGAAAGCCACGAAAGGCTAAACACGTTTTCACAATTTATTTACATTTTTATGTTATCAAAATGAGCGTATAGTATATACCTATCTTTAAAGAAAAAGAGGAAAAAAGAAACGATATTCATAAATATTTCACATTTTTCAACATTTTAACTTGTTTATATCATTTTATCTTTCAACTTCTTCTTTTGTATATATATATTTATATATATATATAGTTAAATCAACAGAATATGTAAATTAATTTTTTTTTTCTTCTTCTAACTTTAACACCTTGCTTCAAATTTTATATATATATGATAAATTTTTTTTACACAATTTTGCATAAGTTACGCGTGGGGAAAATTTATCTTCTTTTTTGTTTTTCACTTTTCAATGAAATTTGTTTAGCCTCTTTTGATTTAAACTTCCGATGTGAAAGTCGGCAATAATAATTTTTTTCGAATAGTCGTCGTCAAGGGTTCAAATTTAAAATATTCCCAAGGTTTTTTTTTTTTTTTTTTTGCGCAACGAAAATAACGCTGGAAATTTATAATTTATCGTTTAAACAGAGTCCAGAGACAATTTGACCTTTGAGCCTCAGGCGCATTTAAGAAACTCAAAATGGTATATAAATATTTTCTAAAATTGCAATATTATTCTATTAACATTGTTTAAAATTAATTTGTCAATTATCTTCATTTTTAAGAAGAAACATTTTTCTTCGAGTGTATTTTTATTTTTTCTAAGGGGAATTTTTCGAAAAATGTGAGTCAAATTTTTTTTTTCTCTATTTTTGTGTATTTTAAATGAAAAAAAGAATTTTAGTTTGAAAAATACCGGAAACATGAAGATATATAACGATGATGATTCAAGATATATTAATGGGAAAAAAAAATTTTTTAAAAATATAATTAGCATATTGTTCCTGGATCAAAATAAGAGATTTTCGTCGTCTCTTCTAAAATTCTTTGACTGGTTTCCTCCTTCTCATCTTATAGTTTGGTCGTCGTCATCTTTCTTTTTCTTCTCTCTATTCGCAGCTGCGCGCGCTCTTTCACTTCCATCTTATATACAAGATCATCTTCATCCGGGCATTTGAGGGTGAGGCTCTCTTTCTCTTTGGACCGATTATTTTTAGGTTCCTAAGGAATTCCCAGCGATAGTCTTGAAAAATGGTTCGCCTCAAGAGGAGCAGTTGACGATTCTAGCTGATTGTGCATCTCTCCCCTTATAAGCCTCAAGGGAATTAAACGTTGGAATTGCGGTCTCAGAGAGAGAAAAAAATTTCTCTTTTCATTTATATTTTTATTCCGCAGAAAACTGTCTTTTTTGCATGTAAATTTATGCGTCTTAGAGCTTAACTCGGGTCCATTGAATGTTGGAACTTCAAATTCTTCATTGAAATGATAAAATTCGTTTAAGGGGGCACTCAATTTTTCGAGGAAAACGCGAAATAAATTACTTTTTTAAATTTAATTTTCTATTTTCAAATTTTTTAACTAATATTTTTAAATTTGCAGTAAATATTACAATTAATGCGAAATTTACTACAAGTATTGCAAAATTTACAATACAGAGTTTGTAAATAAAAAAAAAAAAAAAAATTTCTCAGAATCAGTGAAAACATAATAAATAATCTCAAAGGGAAAAAAAAAAAAAATAAAATCTTATTTCGCGTGAAGAATAAGAATGAAGGAATTAATTAAAGGGAAGATTTGACGAGATAGAAGCGACTTCCCCCCTTAACGAAGAAATCGTTATGTAGTCTGACCTCGACGTTATTTCAACCTTGTTGTTGGCGCGTTGTCGAGACAACGGTGCCGACCCCGAAAGTGAATCGTTTGCCAACATATCTCAATTCGGACGATGGCAAAGAGGGTCCAGTGCCGACCTCGAATGCCTGAATTCGGCAGTTGATTCGCTGATTCCTTGACCCCTATATATGCTTCCCCTTCCACCCTCTTGGTTTTAGTCGCCCACACCATGTATATATATACTATATAGCTATGCCAGTGTCGTCCGCCTCTAATGGAATTGCTACGCCATGCCTGAGTTGAAGAAAAGGCCAGCTTAAATAAAAGCAAACGATCCGAATCCATGCTTCTCACCCTCGTTTCACTTTTACCCACCCCTCTAGAAAAAAAAACGCTCCATTTTTCTTTCCTTCAAATTCTGTGATTCTTTTTACAAACGCGTAGAAACGGAGGGACCATATTTTTTTTTTCTTTTTTTTTTTAATTAAACTAAAAAAAAAGAGTAAATTTTTACTAAACTATTTTTTTAGACAAATTTTCTTTATCGCGGTTGCGTAATTTTATCAACAGAATCTAAAAAAAAAATTTTGCTACATAAATACTAGCGTTCAAATCCGAATTACTAATTTTAATTTACAGAATAGACAAAAAAAAAATTCTACACTGAAAAAAAAATTTGATTCTAATGATTACTTGACTATATTATCAAATAATTATTTAATTCAACCAAATAATTTTTATTTAAATTAAATAAATTGTATTTGAATCAATAATTTCTATATTTGAACCAAATACCATTTAATTGACTCAAATAATATTTATTTGATAGAAATAAATATTTATTTGATAGAAATAAAAATTTATTTGATAGAAATAAATATTTATTTGATAATAATCAAATAATCGATTATTTGAATTAAATAAATTTTTTTTTCAGTGTAAAGATGGGAAAAGTTCACTGAAAAAAAAAATTAATAAACCATTAATAATTTATAAAATTTCTTCATTATTAAATCAATTGTACTGGAGTAATTAAATAATTTATTTAAATCAAATTAATAAAATTAATTAAATAACCTGGAACAGCGAAACATTTCACACCGAGAAAAAATGGATATATTTGTCTCAAAGACTGATGATAAATATTTATTTGTCTTAAATAAATTTTATTTTCGCTAAATAAAATGTTATTTATGCTACAAAAAAAATTTTTTATTTCAAACAAATAAAAATTATTGAATTATATAATTACAATAAATATTATATTGTAACACAACAATAAATAATAATCAATTAATAATAATAAAAAATTATATTTTAATTTAAAAAATAATTTAAAAATATAATTTACAAAATTAAATTTTAATTCAAAAAATAATTTAAAAATTTACAAAATTAATTTTTTAATTTAAAAAATAATTAAAAATATAATTTACAAAATTATATTTTTATTTAAAAAATAATTTAAAAATATAATTTACAAAATTAAATTTTAATTTAAAAAAAAAATTTTAAATATAATTTACAAAATTAAATTTTAATTTAAAAAAATAATTAAAAATATAATTTACAAAATTATATTTTAATTTACATATAATCAGGCGAGAAATTTCAATTCTTACAAATAAATAATAAAATGTAAATAATTCATTAAAAATAAATAAATAAAATTATTATTATTTTTTATAAAATATTGTATTTATTAAAAATAAATATAAATAGATAAAAAAGTTATTAGGCTCTGAGACAAATATATTTAAAAAAAAAAAAAATATGAACACAATAAGAATCATGTGATTTTTACACCTTCGAAACATTGAAACATAATAAAAAGAAAACATTACATTATAAAAAGCATTTTAAAAAATAAATTTCTATCTACTCGATAATAAATTAATTTTCAATATTTTTTCTATTTTATAAACGTGTACTATTATTATAATACAATATGTATCAAAGAATTTCCGTAATGCATGAAAAAATGTTTCCGATTAATTTTGACAAAAATATTGAGGTTAGGTGATTATACACACGAAAGTAATAATTATAAAAAAATTTATAATACAATTTTCTATATCATTTACCTGAATATTTTTAATCAATTATAAAGAATTTATACTAGAATTTGTACTTTCAATGGAAATTCGATAATAAAATATATTCACATATACAATGCAAATGTAAACAAAATGTATACCGGTAGAATATCAGGTAACGTGAAATGTACTTACAAACGTTTTGGAAATGTGATACACCTATTGTTGAACATCACCAAATAGAAGAAATGATATTTAATTATTTCAACACGTTAATGTATTTTTAATTTAGACGAATATCAATTAATATAGACACTTGAACACAATGAATATTCGACAACGAAGTACACAGCGTGACAACAATGGCGTTATTTTACGCGGCAATGATCAGCAACAAGAGCGCTACTGTCTTTCGGGTCACGTGATTATTTCATGAAAATTGAAATAAAAAGCGCGCAATTTAAAATCATCCAATCCCAATTTTCTTTCTAGTTACTGATTGGATATTCTTTATGCATATACAATTATTATTATTATTATTTTCAATAAAATGCGTTATATTACATAAATGAAACTGAAAATAATATATATTCTAATTATATTGTGACGAAAATAAAAAAATCACATTATTTTTATTTGAAAAAAATTATAGAAATATAATTAAAAGCAAATTTTCAAGTAAATGTGTTGACATGATATTTTCAGGTTATGTTATAAATACGAGAATATAGAAAAAAAAATTTTTTTAATACAAATATTACCTCAATATTTTTAATCAGCTGAAAAAAAAAATTTATACTAATACGTATTTGTACAGTTGTACTTTCTATAGAAATTCGATAATAAAAATACATATACAGGGCAATGGCAAAAACAAAAAAATGTATATCGGTACAATGTCAGGTAACGTGAATGTGCTTACCAAGGTTTAGAAATATGATACTGCTGTTGTTGAACATCACCGGAAAGTAGAGATGATATTTAATTATTTCAACACGTTATCATTTTAATTTAAATAAATGTATAGACACTTGAGACAAAAATATTCAACAACGAAGCTACACAGCATGTCAGCTCTTTGCGCCATTTAACACGGCAGTGATCAGAAACAAGAGCGCTACTGTCGGGGTCACATGACTATTTCATGAAAATTGCAATAAAAAGCGCGCAATTTAAAATCATCCAATCACAATTTTCTTTCTAATTACTGATTGGTTATTCTTTATACATATATAATTATTATTATTATTTTTAATTAAATACGTTATATTACATAAATAAAACTGAAAATAATATATATTTTAATTATATTGTGACGAAAATAAAAAAAATCACATAATTTTTTACTTTAAAAAAATTATAGAAATATAATTAAAAGCAAATTTGCAAATGTGTTTTTTGACATGAATTTTTCAGGTTAGGTTTGTATTTACAAGAAAACAGAAAAAAAATTTATAATACAAATATTACCCAAATATTTTTAATCAGCTGACAAAAAAAATTTATACTAATACGTATTTGTACTTTCTATAGAAATTCAATAATAAAAAATATAAATATACATATACAGGACAATGGCAAAAAAATGTATATCGGTACAATGTAAAACGTGAATGTACTTACAAAGTTTTGGAAATATGATACTGCTGTTGTTGAACATCACCGAAAAATATAGAGATGATATTTAATTATTTCAACACGTATATATATCTTTTTAATTTAGACAAATATAGAGACACTTGAGACAAAAATAATCGACAACGAAGCACACAGCATGTCAGCTCTTTGCGCCATTTAACACGGCAATGATCAGAAATAAGAGCGCTGCCATCGCGTCACGTGACTATTTCACGAAACTTGAAATTGAAATCGCGGCAGTTTAAAATTATTCAAACACATTGTTCTTTATAATATTAATATTAATTAATATTATACAATAATTATAATAATAATAATACACGGAAAAAATTAATTCAGTATTACAAAACTGTGACGGAGTAGCGGATACAGCTCTTTACGAAGCAGAGTTTTGCAAAATGTGATGGATATTTTCGGATAAACTACAGAAATTTCATTGTTTATACTGAATATTTCTGAAGTTTATCCTGAATATTTAGTGACATTTTACACCTATATATGATTGTGCTGAAAGTCCATCGTATGATGGATCTTATCTAAATAAGATAAACAAGGAAAAGTAAACATCTATGGAATTTATTGGAAATTATTTATCTAATATGACGCAAAATCTAATTTTTCATTTAAAATAAATAATAAAAAATTAACATTACAAAAAATTATTGTAGACATAAATGGTATAAATTCAAAAATTTTAAGTATATCAGTACTTAAACCTAAGTTTTTCTATTAAAAAAATCTCTTTCTACATTTTGGTAAGATTATAAACAAATATCAATAAAAAAAAATTTACTAACTAAACTATTTCTGTTCTCTTTTATTAAATTTTCAAAGCTGTCAAACTAACCTATTTTCCGTGCAACTCAACTTGAAAACTAAATTCCTTCGTAAATAAAAAAAAATTTCATAAAATAATTGTCAAAAATGAACTGATGTACATATATTAAAAGTCATTATTATTAAATATCAGATTTTTCAAAAAATAGGCCGCAACGACTATAGGTGAAATAAAATGGAATGACCCTAATATTAAAAAATCGGACAAGTGCGAGTTACACTCGCATTAAAACCGAGGGTTCCGTACCCTTAAACCTAAAATTTAAGGGGGTTAAAGTGTCACATATAACGAAATATAATCAGTTTTTCCTTGAAAACGCTATGATAATCAATTCCTATGAGATTTGTTATATTTTTCCTGTAATCTGCACGTCAAAATACATATGTGTACCAAATATCAGCCCTCTAGATAAATTCGTGCGGCCGCTAGGGGGAGGGGTACATGCCTTGCTTCACTAGTCTCATTAATAGGGTTCCCCCTTCGGGTACGGAACCCTAAAAATAATATTTGGAACTGAATATATAAATTTCCATTTCATCATAATAGAAAAATTTATCTTACGACACTACAATAAACATAAAAATTAAAATAAACAGTTGCGTTTATTGTGTGAGATCGATAACGTATTTTGCGTCACAAGTATATAAACAAGTATCTTTCTTGTTTTCTTAATTTACATAAAACATTCCTTAAATTCACCATTATACCTTAATTATAAATTTTTATAAGGTCATATAATTCTATTATGATATAAATTTTGCATGAAATAAATCTCCTTAGACCTAAAATTCTCATTATTGTTCTAAAACTAAATTATAATTAATAATTCCTGGTTTATTATCATCAAAAAAAATATATTCAAAATTTACATTATTGATATATATTTTTTTCTACAATTTAAAAATTTGTTTAAAAAAATTATATAATTTTACTGTTTTTTTTTATCTCTGGGTATTAAAAATTTTATTAGAAACTCAGAATTGTTGATAACTTTTAAAGTTCTGCATAATTTAAAAGAAATTTTTTTTTATTTAAGTTAAAAACAACGAATAGTGCTTTATACATTTGAGTGAATATAAAAATTCTTTCCAAATCTCATTTAATATATTATTTACATCACATTAATCGAAAAATTATAATATTTCAAATTCAAAATATAATCTACAGAATTTTATTTGTTCCATAAAGAAAATTTTATTTCCGGTAAGAGTTTAAAAATTCAAAAAATTGTATACCTTTAAAAACCAACAAATTAATTTTTTTTAAACAATCAACTTCTGTTTATATTAAATTATTATTAAGAAAATTATTTTACAGGACTATTTATATTTACTTTTTATATGAAATAATTTCCTTAGACCTAAAATTCTCATTATTGTTCTAAAACTAAATTATAATTAATAATTCCTGGTTTATTATCATCAAAAAAAAATATATTCAAAATTTACATTATTGATATATATTTTTTTCTACAATTTAAAAATTTGTTTAAAAAAATTATATAATTTTACTGTTTTCTTTTATCTCTGGGTATTAAAAATTTTATTAGAAACTCAGAATTGTTGATAACTTTTAAAGTTCTGCATAATTTAAAAGAAATTTTTTTTTATTTAAGTTAAAAACAACGAATAGTGCTTTATACATTTAAGTGAATATAAAAATTCTTTCCAAATCCGATTTAATATATTATTTACATCACATTAATCGAAAAATTATAATATTTCAAATTCAAAATATAATCTATAGAATTCTATTTGTTCCATAAAGAAAATTTTATTTCCGGTAAGAGTTTAAAAATTTTAAAAATTGTATACCTTTAAAAACCAACAAATTAATTTTTTTTAAACAATCAACTTCTGTTTATATTAAATTATTATTAAGAAAATTATTTTACAGGACGAAAATTATTTAAAATTATTAAAATTACTATTTATATGAAATAATTTCGGCATCTATATAGAAATAATCATTACGTATTAAAAAATGATTTATATCTGTATTTTACTTTGTGCATTTATTGCTCCATTCTCATACACTATTGGTAATGAAATATCATCAGAAATAACTGAACCACCTCCAGTAGAAGGTAAATACGATTTTCTTCAGAATTATTAAATTTCTTATTTGTTTTCATATATATAACAAATAAAGAAATATTTTTAAAAAAAAAATTTTTAGTATCTATTGAAGATTCCATTCGTAAAAAAGGATCTAATGAAATATCAATTCATGTTACTCTTAATAACAGTGAAAGAGAATTCATTTTACAAACTGTCGATAATTTTGCTGGTAAAAATACAAAAGTTTGGATAGCTAAAAAAGTGAACGATAAATTTGTATACACTCTACAAGAAGATGTAAGAAAATATATTGGAGGCAAAATTCCTGAAATGTCCGAACAAAAAATTAAAAGTTATTAAATTTTGTCTATACTTTCCTAAAATGTTGTCATTGTTGGTGAAAGTCTAAAATTAAAAAATTATTGAATTTTATAAAATATTTTTTAAATTACAATGTTTTTAATTTTTGACTTTTTGAAAAAATTTTTTTTTTCAATGTACAATATTTATAAGTATAATACATAAAAGTTAACATATGTATAATGATTTTTAAAGCTTTTTTGACGAGCTACACGTTGGTGACAAAATTTTTTTATTAAATTAAAATTTGACCTTGAAGTTCAAGGTCAAATTTTAATTTAATAAAAAAAATTTTGTCACCAACGTGTAGCCCGTTCAAAAAAGCTTTAAAAATCATTATACATATGTTAACTTTTATGTATTACCGATGATATAGATCGGACGGTGAAGCGCCTTGGCTTGCGATCACTGAGGTTAAGCACAGCTGAGTACGGTTAGTACTTGGATGGGTGACGGCCTCGGTGATGGCTATAGCCTTGGTGTTTTCACTGTGATCGAAATATATATCAAGCGGGAGGTTTGACGCCGAGGATGTGTTTGTACATTTGTGATAATTATTATCCAAATATACATTCACAACTCGACTGTCAATAAACCGGCTGTGCTCGGGAGAGGTTTTCTGTAGTTTACCTCTCCCCTGGCTAAAAGTCCAGGCAAATGCGAGTGCTTCTAATAAAAGTCGGTCTACAGCCGCAATTTTAAGAGTTTGTTGAGTTCAAAGAGTTAAATAAAAGTTGTGAGCAAATTGTAAAGACACCTAAGGGGTATACAATGAACTCAATTTTAACTTTTAACTTTTATGTATTATACTTATAAATATTGTACATTGAAAAAAATTTTTTTTTTAAAAAGTCAAAAATTAAAAACATTGTAATTTAAAAATTATTTTATAAAATTCAATAATTTATTATTTTTAGACTTTCACCAACAATGACAACATTTTAGGAAAGTATTGAAAAAATTTTTTTTTTCAAAAAGTCAAAAATTAAAAACATTGTAATTTAAAAAATATTTTATAAAATTCAATAATTTTTTATTTTTAGACTTTCACCAACAATGATAACATTTTAGGAAAGTATAGACGAAATTCAATAACTTTTAATTTTTTGTTCGGACATTTCAGGAATTTTGTCCCATTTTGCTTCCTCGTGGAGGAAGCTTTGTAGTCCTTTCGTTTATAAAACTTTTCAAAGTGGCTAAAACAAATTTTTTTCTTTATAGAAACATGTTATATGAGATCCTGATCAATTGTCCGGATGTATGTATGTATGTGTGTGTGTGTGGATCCCTTTTTTGTTTAGAAGATAACTTTAACAGGTTTTAATGGATTTAGATAAAATTTGGTAGGCTCATTTATTATATTAATATCTTAAATCTGACCAAAGGATTTTGAAAAATACCCAAAAGAAAAAAATTTTATCGAATTTTTTCCAAAAATTTTTTTTCAATCCAAAAAATTTTTAAATAGAAAAATTTAAGGTTATATACAATAAAATCGTATTCCTTACGTCCAGACGAATCGATCGATATATATAAAGTATACATTTGAGGTAAATTTAAAGAATTAATGGAAGTTAAAAAATCAAAAATTCACATTTTGGCAATAAAATTTTGCTTTCTCCACGAGGAAGCAAATTTTTTTGCTGATCGTATAGAGGAAGCAAAATGTTAATATAATGAACATCTGAATTTACAATTTGTTTAAATATATATTATTTAAATATATTTATTAAATTTATTTATGCAACTTATATAATTTAATAAATAATGTATAAATTTTGATAAATAATAAAGTTTTTATATATTTTATAAATCTTATATTTATAATTGAATATTTTTTACAGTTTATGAGAGAATCAAAAAATATTTCCTTCTTTTACAATAATCAAACCGAATCTGAAGTATTTCAGACAGTAAGTGAAAACGGAGAATTATAACTATTTCTTTAATATCAAACAAAATTCGTTAAGCACATTATTTTTATATTAAAAAGTATAAAATTTATATTTTAAAAATAAATTTTTCTTTCAGAATAGCGTTATTAATTATGATCAAGTTGATAATGAACCAATCGATGTATCAAATTTAACAACGGTGTATCCAGAAATTTTAGTCTATGTTGATAAAACACTTTTTCGGTAAGTTGTTGACATTATTTTTAATTATGATATAGAAATAGTCATTTATATTAAAACAAATTTTTTTTTAGACACTTTGATTATGATATTGAAAAAACTGTAATTTATACACTAACTCTTTGGAATGGAGTGGATCTCGATTTTAGAGAATTACAAAATCCGTCAGTTCGTCTTAACATTGCAGGAATTGTATTGTGTCAGGTATTTTTCTTATACGAATTTATAATTAATGGAACTCATGAAAATCATCTAGAATTAGATTAAAAGTTATTTAACTCAAAAATCCAATTAAATTAATTAGATTTGATGACGATTCCAAAAAAAAGTGCATAGGTTTTTTATGTGATCTTAAAAGATCATTATTTTTTCAACAAAATCTAATGTATTTCTTTTAAATTTAAAGGATCAACATTTAGAAAATGATCCATTTAGAGTAAATTCAGAAAAACTGTTGGAATTTGGTAAATTTATGTACAATCAAGATCAATTCAAATTGGGAAAGGATTACGATATTGCTGTATTATTAGGTGCAGATCCATTATTCAATATGGGCACTGCAGGTATTATATCTTCTTTAAATTCATATAATATATGCTTTTTTTACATATTAAATTTACTGACGAGGTAACAAATTTTCAAGGTATTGCATTTTTGGAAAGTACTTGTGTTAATAACACTAATGAACAACTAATATATTCTATAGCGGTAGTTTGGGATAATACTGCCTTTTATGGAATTCATACAGCTTCACATGAATTAGGTCATTTGTAAGTATGAATTGTTTTATATTAAATATTCAAAAATTATGATATATTTTATATATTAATGTTTTATTTTACAAGATTCGGAGCTCTACATGACGGTAGTGTAGTTGATTCAACAGCGAAGTACTGTTCTTTTTTTGATGGCTACATTATGAGCTTTACCAATATTGACGAAAAACGATATCACTTTTCCACGTGTTCTAAAAAAATGATGTCTAACTATCTCAGGTTAGTTTTTATTTATTTATTTTAAAAAATAAAAAAAACGTTTTTATGACACTATTTAAAATTTGATAAACTTTTCAATTCGTTTATTTTAATGCAATAAAAAAATGTATGAATAATTTCACTAATTAATAAAAATGAAAATATTTTTAATTTTAGAAGCGAGGGTCCTAAATGCATTCGTAATAATCCATTGGTTAATGAAACTAATGAACAAATGTTAAGAATTTTGCCTGGTAAATTAATGACAATAGACGAACAATGTCAAAAATATGGATTTCTCCGAGCATATGATGTAAGTTTTAAAAAAATGCGCAAATACCACAATATCTTTAAGAAGATAAAGAAAAATCTAATTAGCTTGATATCAATACAAAACTAAATGATTTATAAATTAATAAAAATCTATATGAATTAAATATTTTTAATTTATTTAAGGTGAATCCAGACTTTTGCCAAGGCATTCAATGTAAGACTGTTGAGCTGGGTTTTTCATATAATCCTTTTTTTGCAGCACTTGAAGGAACGCCTTGTTACATAGGAAAAGTAAAAAATTTATGACTATCAATTAATATTTTAAGTTATTAAAATATTTCATATTCTTTAATGAAAAATAAATAAATTTCAGTATTGTTTGAGAGGAGAGTGTGTTGAAGTAAATTTCAACACAACTGAAAATAATAATTATTTAAAAGAATTATTTCCATCACTTTCTCAACATCTTACATATTTAATAAATCTGCAACAGAGCAGTGCATAGAATACGGATTAGAAAATGTTACCGAAGTTAGTTTAAACAATTACTTATGAAGATTTAATAACAATACAAATTTGAATATTTGTTTCTATTTTAATTATTGTTTTAGGCCTCTTTTGAAAACTGCGAAGTAATGTGCGAGTTTCCGATAGAAGAATACACAGACTACATAGTTCCCATGGTTACAGTTACTATAGCAACCGTTTCCATAGCAACCGTGCACTGAAAAAAAATTCTATTTAGAATAACCAGAATTCTGGTTAGGGTATATTTAACATTTTGATTCTGGTTAGATTAACCAGAATTCTGTTTATTTTGGTCCCAAAACTGAAAAGTGAATGATAATTGCGCAGAAAATTTATATAACATGAAATGAATATCTTAAATAGTCAAAATAGCTGGGATAGAGAGCACTTGTTAAAAATCGATTTTCATTACCGAATTTATTTGGAACTTGTTACTTGGAAGTTTTTAACGTTTCTATTGACGTTTCGAAAGTTGAATTTAAAAAATTCAAAATGGCGGATTATAAATGGCGTTGAAAAATTTCAAAAATGGAGTGAATTTTTTCGCAGTTTTTTCCTCGGGGTTTTTTGAAATATTTGAACGCCATTTTTAATTCGCCATTTTGAATTTTTTAAATCCAACTTTCGAAACGTCAATGGAAACGTTAAAAACTTTCAAGTAACAAGTTCCAAATAAATTTGGTAATGAAAATCGATTTTTAACAAGTGCTCTCTATCCCAACTATTTTGACTATTTGAGATAGTTATTTCATGTTAAATAAATTTTCTGCGCAATTATCATGCACTTTTCAGTTTTGGAACTCAAAGTTAAAGGTTTAAGCTTTCATTCAAGCCTTCGTGAAGGTTTTTATCTTGTTGCGTTTTCGTTTTACAACGCTTCAAAAAGTGCTAAAAAAGCGATTTTTTGACACTTTAATCTCGTTTTTTACGGAACTGACAGAATGAAAATTTTTTTTTTGGGTATATTCTTGTTCAGTGACACCTAAACTTTCAATAAACACAGAAAATTTTAAATAAACACGACTTGACCATTTTTTTGTAACCCAGTGTAATAATTAAAACTATTGTTATTATTATTATTATTCTTGTTATTATTATTTATTTATTTATTTTTTATTTATTAATAATTTTTTATTTAAATTCTATTTATTGTCAATTTATATTAAATTTGAATACAAAAAATATGCAATTAAATTTTTTGCATTAGAATGATGACATAAGCGCACTGCAAAAAGTTGGTATCTTCTTGGTATCTTAAAACAAGATGTTAAGACGGAAATGGTAACTTCCATTCGCTTCCATATTAGAATAAGATGTTAAGAGCATTTGAACCTTCATGACGTCACAAATCATGGCGCATGACACGCAAACTTCTCAGGTATGTGAAAAGCACAATTTTGAATATTTTTTAAAAAAACCTTTTGGAAAATGTTCAGAATAACATAGACTCTGTCTGTTATGTGCGGAAAATTCAAAATTTTGCGTTTAAGACGTTTTTTAAACAATGCCTACATATAAGCAATTCGTGTATTTTCCCTTACTTGTGACAACCAACTTAAACATTGTTTAAAAAACGTTTTATACGCAAAATTTTGAATTTTTCGCACATAACAGACATAGTCAATGTTTCTCTGAACATTTTCCAAAAGGTTTTTTTAAAAAATATTCAAAATTGTGTTTTTCACATACCTGAGAAGTTTGCGTGTCATGCGCCATGATTTGTGACTTAAACATTGTTCAAAAAACGTCTTAAACGCAAAATTTTGAATTTTCCGCACATAACAGACAGAGTCTATGTTATTCTGAACATTTTCCAAAAGGTTTTTTTAAAAAATATTCAAAATTGTGCTTTTCACATACCTGAGAAGTTTGCGTGTCATGCGCCATGATTTGTGACGTCACGAAGGTTCAAATGCTCTTAATTTTAATATTTAGATGCTTTATTCCTATTATAACATCTTAAAATAAGACACTTTAAATAACTAAAAAGTTACTACCAAAACGTCTTAAAAGTGACTACCAAAACATCTTATATTAAGACACTTCTTTTTGCAGTGCGAGAGGAAATATAAAGTTTTTTTTTTTTGTTTTTTTTCCTCTTCCTCCCGTGGAGAAATTTGCTAACCTGGCCCTGACCTGGTTGAAACGGGGAACCCCACCGGGACCAAACAAGTCCCTGGTTGGGCCCCGGTTTTTTATTGATTTTAATCGCAGGTTGAAGTAGGGCGCTCTTCTGTGGCCCCGATCGGGTTTCCGATGTCAATTTGGAACTTCCTGACCTGGGCCCTGCCAGGCCCCTTTCAAGATTTTTACACGGAAGTGAACCTGACCGGGGGCAAATCAGGCCCTGGTCGGGCCCGGTTTTAATCGATGTTAATCGGGCTAAGATAGAGCTAGGCATAGATAGGTTCCCTGTTTCATGTTAATTTGGAGCTTCCTTATCTGGGCCCTGCCAGAGCCCTTTCAGGATTTCTGCACGGGAGAGAACCTGACCGGGGGAAAAGCAGGCCCTGGTCGGGCCCGGTTTTAATCAATGTTAATCGGGCTAAGATAGGGCTCTAGACATAGATAGGTTCCCTGTTTCATGTTAATTTGGAGCTTCCCGACCTGGGCCCTGCCAGGGCCCTTTCAAAATTTCTACTCACGGGCTTGAAAAGTTATTTACTTTCTTTCATTTTGATTTTCAAGTTAAAAAAAAAGCAAATTATCCTAGTAGTAGGTACATCCGTTAAAAAGGAAAATGATGATGATGATGAGAAAAGGCGTCACAACGGAGGCGGAGGTTTTTAGGTAGAAAGTGGCTCTTTCATTCGCCGATGGGGATCAGTATAAGGCAAGGTAATAGATTGTGTGTCTGGAAATGGAGGGAGAGACTCCTTATGGTTAAATATATATATATATATATATATATATATATATATATATATATATATATACCGCCATTTCTAGCTACTTTCGATCGACGGAATATGAAGTCGTTAAAAAATGAGCAGGTCCCTCCAGCAGCAAACTTGTCCCTCACTTGGACATGTGTAGCTTTTGTCGATGAAACCCCAGACCACACGCCCACGGGTTCCATATCATATATTTTTCGGAACACGACAGGTTCTTTCGATCCCACCTACCCACTCGTTCGGCTCTTTTGTTCCTGACACGCTGTATATATCGAACATTCCAATGTATCTCTCGATCTTTGCCTCTTAACGGTTTCAGGTGTTCTGATTCTCATATATATATATATGTGCAGGATTATCATTTTTTTTTTATATTGTATAGAAAAAAAATTTTTTCTTTCAAATTTGTATAAGATGTGATAAATAATTTAAATATTGAGATGGTCATGTTTTCTATATATATATACAAATTTACGATTGAAAATAATTTTTTTCCAAGTTATTTTTATTGATGTTAATCTTGTTTTTTGGTAGCGATTTTTATTTATATTGAAAATTATAAGGTAGCATTTTTTTTATTTATGTATTATACGAAATTATAATTTTTTATTTATGTGCAAAATTATAATAATCTTGTCAGAAAATATTAACTTTGTATATACTAAGAGAGGATTTATAAAAAATATGTAAATTTTATGAAAAAGGATTACAAAAAAATTTCAAATTTTTTTCACATCAAAGGAATTTAATCTCTTTCAATATGTGAATTAGTAAATAAGTATAATTTAAATATATAAGTGACAATTTTTGCATTTGAATTTAGTATATATTTTAAGTAATTAATAGTAAAAACGTAATTTTTAGTTAAAAAAAAACTTAGCTGACATTTTGCTTCGGTTAGTTAGTAAAAAATAATTAATTATTAGTAAAAAAAAATTACTAATTTTCAATAGAAAAATAACGAATTAGGAAAATCTTTACTAACTTTTTTTTTCAGCAAACTCTCTATAAATCTGAATTAGTAAAAATATTTACTAATTTGCATTAGTGACTTACTTTTTGCTTCTGAATTAGTAAAATTTTACTAATTATTAGTAACTTTTACTAACAATTAGTAAAATTTAACTAATTCTAAAACAAAAAGTGAGTCACTAATTTAAATTAGTAAATATTTTTACTAATTCAGATTTAGAAAGTAGTAAAAAATTACTCTCTAATATTGAATTAGCAAAATGTGAGCTACTAATTTACATTAGTAAGAATTTTTACTAAATTTTAGTAAAATATTACTATTTTAATGTAATATTACTAGTACTCTCTAAATTTGAATCAGCGGAATCTCGCTGATTCTCAGCTATAAGTATACCACTGATTCTAATTAGCTTATATGCACTGATGAATTAGTGGAATTTCACTGATTTTTCAGCGTATATCCGCTGATTGGTACCAGTTGTATACTTATCGCTGATTCAAATTTAGAGAGTATATAATAATAATCTATTACTGTATAGATAATATTTTTTTTTTTGTCTAACAGTAATTCACAGTTTTCTAAAAAGGATCAAATTGAACCCGAAGTGGATCAAAATTGATCTAAAAATTTGGATCAATTTTTGATTTGATCCGCATTTTTGGATCAATTCGTTGAAATTTGACACTTTTGGGTTAACAGTGTAAACATTTTACTAAAAATTGAAATTTTTTTTCTAATTTGAATAAGTAAAAAAATTACTAATTAAAATTTAGATTTAAATTAATTTAGATTAGATTAGATTTAATTTAATATAAAATTAATTTTTAACTAATTTAAATTTAAAGAGCAAATTAGAAATATATATATATATATATATATATATATATTTAATTTAATGATATGAGAATGTTGATATCTCTATATATTCACTCGTTTAATTTTTAACGAATCAATGAAATTAAAACCGGTCATTAGATTCTAAGATACTCAATAAAAACTATTTTAATACCTAATAGAATCTTTCAAGATTATTATAAAATACATTTTAAAGGTAATTTTATACAACTATTTATATATTTTCCATTTAAAGGATAATTTGTAATATTATATTTAAAAAAAATTACGATTTTGCCATTTTTTTAAAGACCTAAAAGGCTATTTTAATATGATTTTATCGATTTTAATTTTTTTAATTAAAAAATTTTTTTTTAAGACTGTTAAGGACATTTTAATTCATCTATAATATATATTATAATCTATATAATATATATTAATAAATAAAATCATATTAAAATAGTCTTTAAAGTCTTAATTGAAAAAAACAACTTTTTTTTATAAATAAATTAAAATTTGAGATTTTTTTTACAATATATTTCCTGAATATATATATATATGTATTAATGCGTGCAATAAATTTAAACGGAGATGTAATTTACTTAAAGCATTTTCTCACTAATATTCGCTTATAACCATTAGGGACTTTAGTTTCAATAGCTCGTCATCATTTTTCTTAGTATTTTATTTAAATGGCAAGAAAACAAGTAGCTACTTACAATAAGTGAAGTTTGTAATAAGCGCGCATGCATATAAACTTTACGCTACTGGACGAGAACTATAAGCCAATTAGATAAAATATGACGTCTATGACCGTCTATGCAACATGTTCTTATATATATATATTCTTGGAATCTCATATTGTTGTGCAATAAAGGACAGAGAAAATCTTCTTCATATATATTGTATATTCCGAGAAATAGAATTTATTTAATAATATAAAAATGTTAAAAATTTTTATTCTCAAAAAATTATATCACAAAATCTGATATCTCTAAATTTGAATTAATTAAAAATAACTAATTTTATGGGAAAAATTTTTTGTTAGGTAACTAATTTAATTAGTACAATTTGACTATATTTTTTCTAGTTATTTTTCTATACTGGAATTAAGACAATTTTAACTGATAATTAGTTAATTTTTAATAACAATTAGTTAATTTTTAACTAACTGAAAACATAAAGTCAAATTTTATATTTAATTATTTTAAATCTAATTAATTTTGACTATTTTTTTTAGTTATTTTTTCCTCTGAAAAAAGTACTAATAATTACTAATTACTAATTACTAATTAGTAATTAGTAATTAATAGGATT